GGTGTTTGGTACGGTCACTTTTTTACTTACTTTTATCTTCTTCACCACTTAACACCTCCTCACGTGTGTCTGGGCCGAAGCTCAAACCCTTGACATATTGGAGAGAGTTATGCGCGTTTCCGCTGTATACTACCTGGAACTAGCGGAAGCTCGTCCCACCAGAGGTCACAGCTTACGGCTAAAGGAACCACGAGTTCACGAGTTCAGAAAACTGTCAGGGCAAACTATTTTGGAGTGAGAATTTTGACATTTTCAAACAATCTGCCGGCGAGCATTGTGACAGCAGCAAGTGTGAGCTCATTCAAGACCAGACTTGATCAACACTGGCACAGGTGCAAAACATTCTGGAGCCAGAAGTTGCTAACAGTGTATAACAAAAACGTGATCTTCTGACCAAGACCGCACAAGCAGCTAACACACTTATCAGTGGCGAAGAGGACATAGGAAGTAGCTAAGTACTGTAATAAAAACAGTATTTAATAATCTAAGAAACCCAATGAAAGGGGACATTAACTTCAATTTGAGAGAAAGCCATCTGAAATATTATGTGATCAGTACTGTTGTATGGGTCAGAAGCGTGGATACTTTCAGCAGATACCAGAAGGAGGTTAGAGGTCTTTAAAATTTAGTGTTACGTGACAATGCTAAACATACTAATAAGTTACACCGGCAGGAAAGCAAATTAAAAAGTACTAAGATTGATAAAAAAGCCAAGAAAAATACTTAAATTTACAGAATTAGGAATGGGAGGGATGAAAGGTTAAAAGCAAAAATAGTAATGGGCAAAGTTGAGGGTAGGAGGGCTAGAGGATGACAGACAGAGATGGATGAATGAAATTTAAAGTTGAGTTGCCAGATAGACGCAAAATCTGGGAGGCTGGGTAGAAGCAGACAGAAAACGTTGAGAGTGGAGGACTGTGGTCGCCAACCCTTAGGAAAATGGATGACACCTTGATTGATGAGTGACTTACCAAATCTACATCCTTGTAACCCTTGTTATTTATCAAGATCTTACTGTAACAGGCGATTAAGTCTTTTTCTGCCTTCACTGTTATATCAATGCCAATACCGTTTGTATATAAGCAGTATTTTTAGCTGGTGGTACAAGCTACTACCTAAACGTTAATTAGTAGGTGTTGAAGCAGAAATATGTTGATATAAGGCCTCCTGTTCCCTGTGTCTTAGCTGAGAAGTAGAAGGCTTATAAAATATATACCTAGTATAACTTTCTATTTACAACAATGAATTCTGGGACAATGAATAATACCCGACGAATTCAAGTATTTATTTAGACTACTGTTGGCAATGTCATGAACAGAAAGAGTAATATGCGTTAAACACTGAAACAATCACAAAGTCTCTCTATAAATAACCTAACCTCGGAGTGATGTTTCCTGTAAAACATCTGACCAACATCCTGCTAGCCAACACCTGGTCAATATATAACCAACACCTGGTCAATACATGACCAACACCTGGTTAACGCATGACCAACACCTGGTCTATACATAACCGAAACCTGGTCTATACATAAACAACACCTGGTCTATACATAACCAACACCTGGTCTATACATAACCAACACCTGGTCTATACATAACCAACACTTGGTCAAAACACATCTTGTTATCAACCAAGACCTGGCCAATACATAACCAAACACCTTGTAAATACATAACCAACAACTGGTCAATATATAACCAACACCTGGTCAAAACATACTTCGTTGACAGCCCAAACTTGATCACCAGCTCAAAAAATCCTCATGGACCAAGGACTAGTTCTTAACCAACACATTATATTTGTTACCGTACCGGAACGTGCTACCTAGGATGGCTATTAATCAAGACCTTAATACTAGCCAGTCATAACTTACTACTAGGCTGGCTACAAACAAAACCTTATCATAGCCAGCACCTGTTTGCTCTCTCCCTCACTAGCCAACTGCCTAAATTCAGTATACAATATTGATTTAATAGTTTGAAGTGATCCACTGAACCGCTCATGGAAACGACGGCATCATCCAACTAAATCTAACCAAATAACCAGGACCACCCTAGAATATAATTGGTATTGGTTAGTTGGGATTAGTGGATTCATGTCGTTTGTTTTCAATTAGCGTTTGATGGTTCATTGTGGGACTATTTCGCCAACATCGTACGTCTGGCGGCTGGCTAGTATTATACAGTATATCACCTTCGACTCTGGTTTTTCTCTGAGCTGGGGATGAAGTTATTGTCTATGGACACTCGAGTTGGCCACATAATGAATCAGCGAAGTCGTTCTTGACTTTACTGCTCTCGTCAGTACTGAGATCCTGTGACACATACGAAGATGTCATTGACTCATCTTTTGCCACGACATAGTTGACATTGTTAAATTACTGTGTGGAGACTTAGGTAGTGGAATCATTGCCGAGGATGTCCAGTTTCTTTTTCTGTGTCGAGAGTCAGCTGGTGTGTTCAGACTTCAGGGGATATTTAGTTTCCTTGTTGACCAAGAGAGAGGAAAATGTTTCTGAATTTTTCAGCGCTGATCCTTGAACTCGTCTGAGATCTTGTTGTTAACCCCTTCACTAAGAGACACCACTTTTCATATTTTACTTGGCTAACTGCCAGACGATTTTATTCAGCACAGAGACCCTTTGTGCCAACCTGCACATATATTATTATTTTGCTTGAGTTTAGCGAGTTGTGCAGTCGTCATGGAAAACAATATTTGCCGTAACTTCCCCCAAAATACCGAAGGAAAATACTGATTATCGAACTCGTCCAAGACGCCCACGTAAGGCAACATTTTGATAAAGATCGAGATTAAGTCAATTAATTTCGAAGTGTCGCAATTCACAACGGGGTCGCGCGGACGGACAACAGTTCCGGCTTCTTCAACACGCTGGAACACATAAGTGAAAGCTAAACACGGGAATGTTAAATTGGTGAGATTAGTACGTGCCATCATTGTCAAGGAAAACATCCAGGACAATAAACAAATATTTTTTATGTTAAGTTAGGCTTGTTGTTACTAATTACCCACGGTGTTATCCCCCAGCCCCAGGTAAGGTACAGAACAGCACAGTCATCAACTCCTCAGGCGACGCTCTCATTGCCAGACACTTTGAAGGTCATCTTTATTACCTACTAAATTCTAGAGAGTATCGGGGATGGTGAGGCCGAGAAGGTAATGGTTAGATATGTACTGTAGGTGCGGCCCAGATGATAGTAAGTCGTGAATGTTAACGCACGACTACACAAGATGTGAGAAGTATAGAAGTGGGAACCTGGCGAGTGTTTGGTCCGCTGTGTGAGACGAACAGTTCACTGCTTGAATATTACCTTTACTTCCTCTTAAATCTTTCATGGTGTTACTGATACTGCTGGTTCTTGATAATACCAGCGCATAAGTTCCGTCATTCTACAATAAACATGAGCGTGTAAAATTTGATATAAAAATAACATGATAGGATTAGGCTAGGTTAGGTTAGGTTGGGTGTGATGACACATCCTGTTGACAGTTGATACGACAGCTGCAGAGAACAGGAAGGGTACAGAGAAAGCACTTAACCTTTACATCATGGAGTGAGAGTCAGTTGGCCTCACACCACCTCAGTACAGTGATGATAAATAACCCTTGGTAGCTCGCCTACTTGCAAACAGTTCCATTTCGGGCATAAACCACAGCCGAGGTTAAACACATACCAAGATATAATGCATTAATTTACAAAAAAAGGATTCATCAATGTCTAGAACAAATACTAATAATGTTTTCAGTCTTTAAATTGATTTAAAACCCACCCTCTCCAAGCTTTGGATCATCGTAATGCCAGCCAAAACAATGCTAGCTATATTAAAGATTCCACGAAACCACAGGTTTCAGCAATAACACAACGCCCTACTCAAACATGCGATCATCAGTACCTAGCGTATTTTTTTTTTAACCTTAGCTTTATTTTATCGTTCATCCCTCTCGTACTACATCATTGGACCTCTCACATGAATGTAAAAATAATACAAGATATACAACGGTGGAACATACAGCAACATGAATGATACAAAGGACAGGTCGGGTGATACAGCCCCGACGATCCTGGACACACGGCGGCGAGGCGCGACAGTCCGCCCTCACACCCACATAACACCACCACTGCCATCCTCCTCTCACACGTCACCTTTTCTTTGCTCTCGTGTAGAAAGTCACACTATATCTCCAACCAATATAAGTTTCAACATAATCCATAAATTGTTTTAGTCTCCCCTTACGTTTTCTTTTTCTGTTTCATAATGAGTTTGTTATACACTGTTTATTTTTTACACCTTTACACATAACAGCGAGACGTTACATTATACAAGTGTTTTAGATACACTGGGGAGACTTAGTACGGCCAACATTAGTGATCATGTGTGTCGTCCACGTCTGTGTTAGTTTGAGCACAAGACACTGTCAAACCTTCCCAACTATGGCTGCTGTCTGTGGCGTCGGTGCCTCACTGACCTCTACTGCCCGTGTCAGATCCTCTCCGGGGACAGGGGACTGATGGCTCTGCCTAGGTCAGCAGAGTCGCAGATGGTCACAGTTTTCTTGGTTCGGGCAGATAACATGGGCGTTTGTGTGGGCGTAAGGGAGGAGGGCGGGATGGTGGGCGGCGGAACAGCCTTTAGCGTGGGCATGTCCTTCCGTAATGTGCCGTAGATGGTGTCACACTTGTCGCTCCCGTTGTTGATCTTCGAGGGACTGGTGGCGATGTCTGCCGGGGAGTGGAGTGGACTGTTGGTGCGGGGGTTGGCGCTCAGCGTGTTGTTATGGGTAATGTGTTTGTCGTCGTCTAGGGAGGGTGTGACCTTGTAGATGGTGTTGGTGTGGGAGTTAGGGCGGGCGTTGGTGTTATTGGCTAGGCTACACCCAGTGTTCACCAGACAGGGCTGGGTCAGTGCCGGCGGCGTACTCCCGGTGTGCTTGGGGGTACAGCCCGACCCGTAGGTGAAGAGCGCCACCGTCTCCATACGTCAGGTATCGTCCAGGTGGAAGCGGTGGTTGCTGCCGCTGTTGCTGGTGGCCATGAGGCTGCCCAGGCGCCGCCCCAGGCCATAGCCGCGGTTGGTCATCTGCTCCTGCATGAGGTTGAAGCAAGTAGCGATGAGCGCCATGCCCACCAGCAGGTAGAAAGCAGCGCCCAGCAGAGCCACCTGGACGCCCGTGTTCGCGTTGGGTGTGGTCTCAGGTGCCAGGTCCCCGAAGCCGATGGTGGTGAGGGACGAGAAACAAAAGTAGATGGCGTGCAGGAAGGACCACTGATGGGCGTAGGCGAAGACGGCGGCGCCCCCACAAATGTAGGTGATCATCAACACTAGACAAAGAGTGACGGGGACGGCGCCTGTCTCACCCCCGTCACCGTACTCCTCTCCCGCGCTGCTCCCGTCACCACAGTCCCCGCCCCACTTCTTCTGTAAGATCAGAGGTCAAGGTCACTACAATGAGGTTAGTAATACTACTAGGCTTAAGGTGCTGGGGCCTGGTCAGTAATGTTAGGTCAGTACAAGCACAATATAGATCAATATTATGGTGAATTAGGTCAATACTATATTAATTAATAGGTCAACACTATACTATTAGGTTAGCGCTATAATATAAGGTCAACACTAAGGCACAACAAGTTCAAATTATAGATGAGGTCAACATAAATGAGTGGTTATATTAGACAAACACTACAAGGTTACAACACAAACTATATAACACTTGTTTACTCCACACGAGGACTGATATACTAAACTTAGTCTTGATTAACAATGGCAATAACCTTCTCTGGACAGATGGTTCATACCAGCGTGTGAGGTTTGGGGTAATTGTTAACATAGGAATTACGTGGTTATCATTATTATTATTAATATTATTATTATTAATTTACTACAATACTACAACTACTAGTATTATTCTTACTACTACTACTACTATTTTTACTATTACTACTACTACTACTATCACTGTTATTAGAGTTAATATTTGTGTCAGTAGTGCTAAAAATATTACTCAAATCGGCCCTCGCCTCAGATCACCCACCCACAGTAGCTAATCACTGTCCACGAGTTCAAATGTTTCCGCGTACAGTACATTATCAAGTACATTTATGGCTGTGTATTAAGGACGGTGTACGTGTACCTTAAAATACGCTCATCGTGTTGTACCTGCAGCGTTCAACCTTCACTGCCATGAGAAGCACGCAATGTTTACAGTTTACCACGTATATGCTTCGTTTTCTATTATTCTCGTTTTCTTTTATTTTCTTATTCCGTTTTTTCTTATTTCCTTCAACGATATCCAATCCCTTTGTGATATCTTCTTTACGATCCAAGTAGTTGAAATCCTGTTCTATCTATCGGTATATATTGTCTATCTATCGGCTATTTTGTGCTGGTTTAATCTTCAACGTAAGGAGATGATAAGGTCTACGGTTGTATATACAGCACCGTGTGTTTGGTCCCTAAACAAATCTGTATCCAGCGAGATGGTGTTGGCCTGTTTATGTCTCTTTCACCACCAAGCCTGTACCTCTCCTGTCTGTCTATCACCAGCTGCAGGGCGTCTCTCCTTCTGTCTGTCACCAGCTGCAGGGCATCTCTCCTTCTGTCTGTCACCAGCTGCTGGGCGTCTCTCCTTCTGTATCTGGCTGCAGGGCGTCTCTCCTTCTGTCTGTCACCAGCTGCAGGGCATCTCTCCTTCTGTCTGTCACCAGCTGCTGGGCGTCTCTCCTTCTGTCTGTCACCAGCTGCTGGGCGTCTCTCCTGTCTGTCACCAGCTGCTGGGCGTCTCTCCTTCTGTCTGTCACCAGCTGCTGGGCGTCTTCTTCAAAATCTCACTGTCATCCCGTGCGAATTGTCTCCTAGGAACACTCGTCTCAGGGAACTTCTTCTTCTTCTTAGTATCACACAAATCCTCTTCCCTCAAAATATCCACCAATCACAGATCACATCCTGTTGACGCGCCTTCTCCCTCCTGCAGGTCCCGCTAAAACCCCCTTTCTGATCTAATTAACGCTCACCAGCCTCTTATAGGTAGTAATATATACAGGAAATTACATCTCCTCGTCTCCACTTCCCTCACCATACAGTCATCTTCGTGAACCAAACAACCCTGTGTGTGTGTTTGAGAGAGAGAGGTTAGACTGCCTACCAAAATATCTTGTTTCTCTTTTATTTCTGTTTGCCTTTGTCATTATCTTCTACCTTCCTCCTCCTCCTCCTCCCCCCTCTTCTTTTCATCTTTGTCTCGTCCTCTCCATCATTATCACACACAAGAGATAGTAAAGATACGTCTCTCTTCTCTTCTGTGTTATTGATTATCTCTCTCTCTCTTCTTCTCTGTGTTACTTCCTCTCTCCTTCTTATCTTTATCTGTCTGTTCTGTGAGACATATGAAAATGGTGGTAATGTTAGGTTAGCTAGTGTGTGTGTGTGTGTGTGTGTGTGTGTGTGTGTGTGTGTGTGTGTGTGTGTTGTGTGAGTAAAACCATAACGGGGTTGACGTTGGTGTAAGTGGCAGGTGAGAGCTGGTGTAAGGGGGTAAATAAGGGCAAGTGTGTCTTACCTTAACGGGGTCGACGCTGGTGTAAGGGGCAAGTGAGGGCTGGTGTAAGGGAGTAAATAAGGGCAGTAGGTAGTAGGTATTAGGCAGCTACCAAACAGGGAGGTACTACCGCCTGGGAAGATATTGGAAGCATAATGTGTTGTCTAATGGTAGACCCTGCTGCCATATGGCATCACGAAAATTGTGACCAAGTCCCAGGTTGCTGATCTGACTTTCTGTCTCATTTACACACGATTACAGGGTCTTAATTGTTTCTCTTACTTTGACAACACTACAGTACAATGTGTACATACATATATTGTTTCTCACTCTTTTTTTTCTTAATTTTTGTATGTCTTTATTATTATTATTATTATTATTATCATTATTATTATTATTATTATTATTATTATTATTATTATTATTATTATTATTATTATTATTATTATTATTATTAATAATAATAATATTATTATTGTTATTATTATTATTATTATTATTACATTTTTGCCCTCCCAGGCCCCGATGTGGGTCAGTGACCTATGCCCAGGTGGGCTAATCCCAGTAAAAAAAAAAGGAGGGGGGTTATGTCTTACCTTAGCGGGGTCGACGCTGGTGTAAGGGGCAGGTGAGGGCTGGTGGTTAGCGCGGGGTGTCTGAGGTGGACGGCGACGGCGGCAGCGACACAGGCGCCACCACAACCACTTGAGAGCCCTGGACAACAAGTCACCTGCCGGAAGAACTTGCCGTTAGTGGGCGTGAGAGAACAGGGAGGAGAGACAGGTGAACTGACATGTCTTAATAACAACAACAACAGCACTTAGTACAAATCACATGATGTATAAACGCTAGTGCAGTAATTCACTTGGACGCGCTACTCGCTAAATTATATTAAGACTACCATAATGTGTATCCCTTCTCTGTACAGTTGCCATCAGTGAGCTTCATGGAGGGTGTGTGGGGCTCGTGCAGTTACCTGAGCATAAACCTGACAGGCTGATGTGATGAAAGGTGCTTGATGATGATGATGATAATAATAATAATAATAATAATAACAATAATAATAATATTGAGTCAGGTAGGTGAATGAGTAAGTGAGTGAGCGAGGTGTGTGAATGAGTGAATGATTGAGTGAGTGAGTGAGTGCATCATCCCCCACCGTTTACCAAAAGGTGGCTCCCATGATGGCTGAGTTAGGCGCCCACCATTAATATCTTTCACCCCTCCCTCCTCTCCATTCCCCCTCTCAGTCCTCCTCCTCTCACCCCTTCTTCCTCTCATCTCCCCCCCTCTCACCCTTATCACCTATCCCCCACCTCTCCCTCCCCCCTCTCACCTCTTCCTATTTCACCCTTCCCGTACTACCCCTCTCCCCCTATCCCCCTCTCGACTTCTCTCCCCTCCTTCCCCCTGTCAGCCAAAGAGAACTGAGATAACTCTTCACCGTCTTCTTCTATAACACAATAAAAGCCAGAACCTCTCAACGTCGGCTTTTGTTTATCGAGTTATTCTTTTTCCTTCACGGTGACCGGTGGAGGTGACTTGTGTAAGCTGGCCTAAGTGTTTGTCTGTACGTTTGGCTATAATGTGATTGGTTCATTTGGTCCCGGTCTTAATTATAGGTATAGGAAGTGAACCATTGAATCTTCGAAATAGTGAATCATTGAATCAATGAACCAGCGAACTATTGAACCATTCAACTATTGAACCACTGAACCATTGAATTATTGACCCATTGAACTATTGAACCTGCGAATTATTGAACCATTGAACTATTGAACCAGTGAACGATTGAACCATTGAACTATTGAACCATTGAACTATTGAACCATTGAACCAGTGAACTATTGACCCATTGAACTATTGAACCAGCGAACTATTCACCCATTGATCTATTGAACCATTGAACTATTGAACCATTGAACCAGCGAACTATTGACCCATTAAACTATTGCACCATTGAACTATTGTACCATTGAACTATTGAACCAGTGAACCAGCGAACTATTGAACCATTGAACTATTGAACCAGTGAACCAGCGAGTTAATGAACCAATGAACAAGTGAACCAAATGAACTAGTGAACCAACGAACCAGTGCCATTGTTATTATGTCTAGCAGGTACTGTATTTTGGATCACTCGAAGATTAGGCACCCAAGTTTATTTCACCTGAAGAGTAACCACCCTAACGCTATCTGGGAGGTTAGGTTAGGTTTGGTTAGGTTAGGTTAGGTTAGGTTAGATTAGGATGGTTAATCTTCAGGTGAAATCCGAGATAGTTAATTTGACTCCGAGAGTGAAAACAAAAACAAAAACAAGGAAATCTAATTTTTCACCCACCCCCTTTTTTTTACACACATTCACTCGACACAAATTTCCACCTTTTCTGGTCTGAGTCGTTGATGTTTTGCGCGGCTGAGGAATATAAATTTTTTCGTTTCTTTAAGTGTGACATAGCCAGTGACGAATGTTCTTCAATATTATGTTTTTATTTTCATTTGTGTTTATTTATTTGCGAATGGTGGGGTTGAGAAGGAAGGGAGAAGAAATCGGTTGGGAAGAGTATAGGAGGGGAGAGGAAGAAGGGTATATGGGGTAGTGGAGGTAATAGGGGGAGAGAAATGAGGTTGGTGGATGAGGATTAGGAGGGGAGGGGAGTATGTATGTATGTATGTATGTTAACAGCAGAGGAGCACTTCAGTAGTCTGTCAAGTATGAGTTATTCATCGCCTCCTCCTCGGCTGACTTGAGTGTGAGTGTCTTGTAAGTTAATGGCGACATACTGCACTGTAGTTCCCTTATATATACACAGACTGGAGGAGGAGAGGTCGGTGGCACAGTCGAGGCACAGATAACTTTGGTGGTGACCCTGAAGCCTGATGTTCTGTTCACCTAGGGCTGTGTTGTCTGTCTGTCTGTCTGTCTGTCACCCCCTCCCCTCTCCACAGTTGACCAATTACAGCACGACTAGAAGCCTCAATTTCAATAAAAAACCTCAAGACTCGGTGATGGAGAAGAGTGAAGGAGAGGGGAGGAGGGAGCATAGTGAGGTGGGGAGGGGGAGAGTAGAGTGAGATGGGGAGGGGGCAAGTGAGGTGGGGGGGGGGGCGTGAAGGAGGAGAGGGGAGGAGGGAGTAGAGTGAGGTGGGGGAGGGGCAGCGTGAAGGAGAGGAGGAGAGAGAGTGAGGTGGGGAGAGTGGAGAGGGGGAGAAGGGAGTAGAGGGAAGTGGGGAGGAGGAGGTGGGGCAGAAGGGGTACACACAGCCCCCTAAAAATAATCACAAAACGTAATACATAATTATACGTAAATTTCCAATACTGAATTAATTACGGAGGTACAGGTGGGTCCCATAGGCTTGGCGACTCGTTAAGGGCGGTGTGGATACAGTACACTCAAGCCTTTGGTACACAAGGGGGGGAGCCTGGCCGACACTGTACTCGTCCACCTTAAATTCCCTAACTTTATAGAGTCAGGTACCTATTTACAACTGGGTGGACTGGGAGTGCCCTGCAGTATCTACCCAACTACAATTTGTATATCAACTAAATGGAATTATATTATATTATATTATATTATATTATATATTATATTATATTATAAATTATATTATATTATATTATTAAATTGAAAACTAAGAGAAAATTCAATTACAGCAAACATTAAAGATAAGTTAAAATATATCCGAGAATTTACCCACGTAGTGTCGCTATTCACTTAGCAGTCTGCAACTTCTCTGATTTATAAAGGTGGCTAAAGGGCTAAAATTGGCCGTATTGTAGCACACTGCAGCACACACACACACACACACACACACACACACACACACACACACACACACACACACACACACACACACACACACACACACACATACACACCCTTCCACATCACAATTCCTGGAGCGTTGAAAAGATGAAACGAAATCCTGAACCCAAAAAATTCTCTTCCATCATGCTCATAGTTGGACCAAACAGTATCTGGGTATTCTGAGGTTGTGGAGGGAGGGGAGAGGGAGGAAGGAGGGGTGGAGGGAGGTAGGAAGAGGGGGAATGGGAGGATGGAAGGAGGAGAGAGAGGGGGGCAAGGAAGAGAGGAAAGAGAAAGAAAGGAAGGAAGAAGGGAGAGAAGGAGAAAGGAAGGGGGGGAGAAAAGAAGAGAGGGAGGGAGGAGTGTCACCTTGTATACCTCGGACGGTCGAGTTTAAAATACATTATCGAACGGAAGCGGTGGCAGTGGGTGGTGTCGGTGGTTGGTGTCGGTGGGCGGTGGGTGGCGGTGGTGGGTGGCGGTGGACGGTGGATGACAGTGGGTGGTAGCAGTGGCAGTGGGTGGTGGTGGGTGACGAAGGGTGGTAGGTGGTGGGTGGTAGGTGGTGGGTGGTGGCGATGGGTGGTGGCGATGGGTGGCGACGGGGTCAAGATAGTGGTAATAACATACCCAGTATGTTGCTTCGCTTGTTAATGACCCTCGTAAGTGCCCACCAAGTCAAGTCTGAGAGCAAATTGGTCAGAAGGTAAGGTTATTTACCTCACAACAGCTATAATTACGAGGTGTCGCGTGAGCTAATTGGTCAGGTGGGATTAATTAGCTCACAACAGCTATAATTACCAGGTGTTCTGAGAGCTTACTTGTATACAGGTAAAGTTAATCAGCTCACACCTGTACACCATTACTGCACCGTCTTAACACAGAACTTATCACAGCTTGACTTTCAACAATAGGTTAGGTTATATTAAGGTATGTTAGGTGAGGCTAGTCGTTAGATTAGGTTAGGTTATATTATGGTATGTTATGGTAGATTATACCATGTTAGGTTAGGTTAGGGTATGTTAGGTTATGCTGTTACATTATGTTATGTTAGAGTGGTTAATTTTCAGGTGATCTTTCTATTTCAAGGACTGGTCTAGGTGAGGCCACAGGTGTAACTCTTCCTCCCTACTGGGCTGGTGACAACTATGAGAACTGAGAAGACATCATGAGACGGGTGGAGGAACCCCAGGGTGAGGGAGAGGTGATTACCTCTCTATAATTTCCTTCTTTAATGGGCTGTTGGGAATATCTATGTATGTGTGTGTGTGTGTGTGTGTGTGTGTGTGTGTGTGTGTGTGTGGCGTCATTCTCCGTGTATTCAAGAGCATTCACCTCTCAGCGTCAAAACATTAATTCACAGCCTCTCACTCTCACCCCCTGTACCTCCCAACCCCTCTCACTCACCCTCTCCACCACGGTAAACTCTCCTCATACATTCTCCTCATGTTTACTCACGACAATATCCCCTTTTACGTAGAGTGTAAATAGTGGAGCATAAATAGATCTGGTGGGGGGAGATACGACAGAGAGAGGGAAAGAGGGAGGGTAAAGGAGGAAAGGGGATAGAGGGGCATAGTTAGAGGAGGTAGAGGGATGAGAATGGGATTTAGAGAATGAGGGGATGAGAGGGAGAAGATATAAGAGGGAAGGAGAGGAGGAGAAACGAAAGTGATATCGGGCTTAGAAACTCGTCTACTGAGCGAAGCGTAAGTGGACGGGATGGTAATGTGTGCCGCTGTACTCATCCTCACAGTGGAAGGAAGGAAGGAAGGAGGGAGGTACAGTATCACTGGAGAGGTGAGTGACAGTGAGAGATGAGTGAGTGAGTGAGTGAGTGAGTGAGTGAGTGATGAGGCAGTGAGTGAGTGAGTGATGAGGCAGTGAGTGAGTGAGTGGTGATGAGGAGGGTGAGAGGAGG